GCTGCTGATCCACAGAGCAAACCCCTTCCCAGGGGGGAAGCCCCCTCCTCCTGGGGACCATTGCAGTCCTGGGGTGCCACCCCAGCATGGATACCCCGCGCCTGCAGGCTCCTGCCAGCCTTTACCAGCGCCTTCTGCTGCCGGTCCATGCTGAGCTGCTCCAAGTAGCGGTCAAGGTTGTCCCGCTGGAGGCAGCGCAGGGTCAGGATGGGGTCCTGCAGTGCACGGTACAGCGCCAGCGCGTCCTGTCTCTCCAGGGCATCGTCCACCTCCTCCAGAGCTCCATGCACTAGGAGAGAGGCCAGTTCACACCCAGAGAAGGTGAGCAGGTAAATCATCCCACAACTCCAGGGAGCAAAGGGAGCTACAATTGAAGCCTGCATACCAATAATTTTAATTTGTCCTTGGAAATGCACACCCAGCCCTGCTCCCCGCGTGGTCTGAAGCTGGCCTGAGCAGACAACTCCTTTCTGCTATGCCCACCACCCCAGGGAGGCTCTCCCCTGCTGCCTGGGGTACCATGGTCACACCGATAAACTCTGGAGACCCCCCAGGAGGGAAGCCACAGCTTTGCTCACCATTCACTTTGTTGATGTTCCCTTGGATTTCAGCCTGGGTCAGACACCGGTCATAGATATCTTCACCCTCGGGGATGACCTGCAGGTACTGGAGAGGGACCCCCCCACCCTGAGCTTTCTGCACAAGAGCACTCCAACAGCACACAGCAGGGGTCCCCTGCAGATGCCTGGGCTCCTTTCCCAATCCCAAGCCCTGGGTCAACCAGTCCCCAAAGTAGAATCATTTCTCCACCACTTTCCCTCCATCTTCTGATCAGCACAAGGGCTCCCAGGCTGTGCTTTACCTGCCAAGCTTGGGGACAGTCTCCAACCAAGAGGGACCCCTCCAACTGGAAGCACCCACCACCACATCAGTGAAGGGGCTGGCTGCTCCTCTCCCAGCCTTCCCAGGACCACCCATGCCCTCCTCACCCTGTTCCTGGCATTGCTGCCCTTCTCCAGCTTTGCCCGGTGGAGCACCTCCTGGTAGGCACCAGACAGCACCTCACGCAGGTCGAGAAGCATCGCGCTGGGGTTGCGGAGGGCCATCATTGTCTGTGCCACCACTCCTCGATCCACCGCTTCGTTGATTGCCAGCACCGCAGCATGGACTAGAAGTGAAGCGGGAAGGATGTAGGTGAGACAGAGCATGGAGGGCTGCAATGAACCATCCCCTATATCCCTGCATGCAGTGGGACAAGCTGTGCCACGCACGATGGTGGGAACCCCAGCTTCTCAAAGAGGAAGGTACAGTCTCCAGCGCCCAGAAAGTCTCCATGTCTCTACAGCAAGCCCAGCTAATGCAAAACCCCTGGTGCTGCTGGCTGGGAAGGGGCTGTGCCAACCCTTGCAGCCATGCACGGGTCTGAAGGAGAGCATCTCTCAGAGCTTCTCTTAGTTTGCTGGCCCTAGATTTGATGTTCAGGGGCTGAGCCAAGATCCTGCTACAAGCTGATGCACAGCACCTCTCCCCGCACGGGCACCCATCACCTGCTGCTTCGTCCACTGAGAGCTCATTGGCCAAAATGCCCCCGATCTTGCTGAAGGCAGGCAGCTGCAGGCCGTACTTCTCCAGCTCCCGCTTCATGTTGTTGATTTCCTCCTCTAGAGCAGAGCACAGAGGCATCACTGCTCAGCACCAGCACCGTGGTCCAGCACTGGAGCGTGGGCAGCCAGCAGAGCCCCCCACTCCCCTGCCAAACCAGAGTGGTACAGAAAACACCCACACTGGGGTAAGCATCACCAAGGCAGCTTTGGAAAAGCTCGCCCAAGGTCTTCATTCCCCACATCCCTCCAACTGCAGGGATCTGAGAGCATTGTTAGCAAACCTCCCTTGCCAGCCCCCAGCCCAGGTTCCCCCGCACAGCGCCATACCTGTGAAGTCCAATTTCCCGTACAAGTCCTGGATCTGAGGAGCCAGCCCTAGCTTGAAGAGGTACAAGCTGAAAGACAAGGCAGACACATGCCATGACCGTGCTGTCACTTGCTTCTCCCTCCTGACGTTTCTGCAACACCTGAGGCTGTCGCCCCAGCCCTGGGGGTGGCACCACCAAAGGGCTCATGAGCATGAACATGAACATGACAACAGTTTTGGCCCTGGGGCCAGGCCAGGGACACCCACCTGAGCGCATGGATGCAGTAGACCACCCGGGGCATGTTCTTCTTGTCATAGATGTCGGTGGTCTCCGGGTGGAAGATCTGCCGACAAGATAAGAGAGCTCTGGTGGAAATGGCACAAAGATGGTCCATGGGGAGGATGGTGTCCAAGGGTGGGGGGGGACAGAGATGAAGCCCCCCCTGCAACACCAGCAGTCCCCCAGTGAGTCAAACTGGTGGCGTGCAGCCCCCGTGCTGCCACAAGGGGAAAGGCCAGTGCGTCCCTTGGCCCAGGGAGAGCAGAGGGAGGACGTTACCGAGGGAAGCCCCACATGGCTCATGGCATCACGCCAGTAGTTGATGTTATCCGTGTGCCGAAAGTGAAGCCCGGCTGCCTGGAAGAGAGGAAGCTGCGGTCAGGCTGAATCCCACTTTCTCCCATCCCTGGGGTCCCGCTCTCCCCCAAACCCACCCAGCCAGGGCATGAAGTTAAAAAGAGAGTCAAATCCTGTGGCACCCCCAGGGAAGCGCAGCTCAGATCCCGTTTGCAGCTGTACTCTGTTAAATTGTCCCTTAATGACTGCAATCAGTATGACCCTCCTTCACTTTGCATTCACCAGTGATGGAAAGGTTCCTACAAGTTTTGGGCTACACCTTCAGGAACGCAACCCCCGGTGCTGCAGTCTTACCTTGTACTGTGTCTGCTCACAGTCATAGATCTTCTTCAGAGGGACCACAGTGGGGGCAAAGCAGTGGCCCAGCTTGGCAAGGACGACCCCGTTGCGCAGGGTCTCCTCCAGCTCTATGAGAGGGGGCAGCTCCTCACTCAGGCAGGCCTCCATCCAGCTGGCAGGGTAGACATGGGGCACGTTGCAGACGCCCAGTATTCCCACCCAGACCCCTTCCAGACAGGAAAAGGGGCACCTAAAGAAGACGCACACACACCCTCCCCATCCCCATAAATCCCTCCCTGGCAGGGAGAGGTCAGCCCCCACCCCTTTGCAGCAGGGTTTAGCAGACAGGTGTTTCTCAGTTTGGGTGCAACAGCATGGCTGAGTGCCCCCCCACCCCCAACCTACCCCAAAACCACTTTTGAAGGGCCAGAAAGCACCAGGAGCAGGCAGGATTTTGCAGCCTCCCCCCACTCAGATCCCCTGGGTCTTATCCCCTTTCCCCCCCTTGCATTCCTTTTCCCCCAAAAAATTTGAGCTCGAGGCAGAGTGGCTCCCCAAGTCCAGCCCCACCGCTTGGCTTCCTCCAAGTGACACAGATACTGGTAGGCGACGTTCTGTCTCCTCTGCTCATCCATCTCGTCTGCGGTGAGGCGCTCATCTGGGCAGCAACAGGGGCACCCCGTCAAACCCCGCTATTCGGGGGGAGGGGGCACTTTTTTAAGCACCCATCACCACCCAAATTAAGGCAGGTTTTTGGCACAGCAGCCTGCCTGTGCCTCCCACGGCCCTCGTGTGGGTGGCGATGATGGTGACACCGGCCAGGCCCTTCTGGCAATTGGAGGAAAGTTTCCAATTTCCCTTTTTCCCCCAAAGTAACGGCCATAGCCGGCACCCAGAGCCAACACCTGGGGGGGGTCACAGCTGCAGGTCCGGGGTCCTTTCATGCCGCTGGGGCTGGAGGCACCCACGACTGCTGGGTGGCACCCAGCAGCACCCCACCAGACATATTCCTCAAAACATGTCCCGTCCAGCTGGTCCCCAGGTGCCT